TTGTGTAACTGATAGCTATCAACGAATTTAAAACACACTAAATCACACTAAATCACATAATCCCCGTGTCCCTGATTACAAGGTAAAACTAAATAAGTTTTACTTTTGAAAAAGATTGTTACAAACCTAATCAATATATTTTCTAATATAAAAATTCTATTTAATCTCAATAAAGTAAGGCAGGATTGCTAAAAAAAAAAAAAAAATAGATAACTAAATTCTAAATAAACAAAAGCAAAATAGCCAAATTAGAAAAAAAATACAAGATTAATTAAAAAGGCTGCTTTTATGAAAATTTAACTTGTAATAAATAATTGATATTTTTTGTTATTTTTGCAATAATAACTTAATATTTGTTTTAAATAATTTTATTATCAAAATGTTCTTTATAATAAGAAGCTTCTAACAAGCCCAAAATCATCACAGGATCTTGAGATATTCACGTGTCAAATAGCGGCACACCTCCCAATACGGAATGATTGATTGAACATAGTATGAACCACAAACCACAGTAGGAGGTGCGTCGTTATTTGACACTGAATATCTCACGATCTTGTATATTGGGATGATTTTGGGCTTGTTAGAATCATCTCATTATAAAGAACATTTTGGTAATAAATTTATTTAAAATAGACCGATAGATCAAAGTTATTATTTATAAAAATAATTCAAAATATTATATATTTATTATAAAAATCGGATGTAAAAATATCTTGACGATAATTTTACTAGACGCATTGCTTAATGCCGGCCGGCCTATCCCAATGAATTCTTGACCCGGAATTTGGTGATTGCCTTTTGATAAAATAATGAATATTAGATATCAATATCCACTTGTCTGAATATTGTAAATCACGTAAAAAAAAATAGATCACATTATGTGCAGACAAAGGGAGTTTATCTCGTTTATTATCGTTTAGATAAATTAAATAATTATTTTTTAAAAGAAACTTTAATAACAAAATGAATTAATATACAATCAATTACTAAATTATATAATTATATATTCACAAAAAACGAATGTTATCATCGCAATTATTCTCTCGAAAAAAAATAAACTAAGAATATTCGTGGTTGAATTGAATTTTTTTACGCGTAATTTGTTTAGTTGCCGTAATATGTAAATTAAAATACCGTTAATTCTACAGTTTTTATTTTTTATATGTTAAATTCAGATTTATCACATAAAAAATAAAACTAGTTCAAATTATAGTCAACTCTATTTATAACGAGTTTGCCGTTTTTGTAACAAAAAAAAATTTAAAATGTTTATTACAAATAATTAAATTTAAAGTGTTCCAATATCCACTGTAAATGTTGCTGTAAATATTTTCTACGTTGCTTTGTTATGTATAAATTAATTCATATATTGATTATTGAATGATAATTAATTTGTCTTTTGGAAATTCCATATGATCTAAGGCTTTTTCAACACTATCAAGCATTTCTGAAGGCCCACATGATACAAATTTAAACCCCGACTCATCAGCCTTAAGAGCACGCATATATTCAATCTTGCTAGCGTGAACAGTAATATCATTTGCATATGCTGAAGTTTCCCCTACACTTGTACTTTCAATTTCAATAGATCCTCTTGGACTTTCAGTAATAGATGCTTTATCGGTTATACTAGCGTACTTTGGTGTATAGTTTTTGGAGATCCAATTAAAAATAATGTTCTCGTCTATATAACCAGTCAATCCATCCCATTTTTTTGGTGGAAATGTTAAAATATATGTTACTGTCAGTTTTCCATTGCTGGTTGTTGCCAATTTGTCTAGATGTCTCTTAAGAATTATATCATGTATTTTTTCATTAGCAAAAAGTAGATATAATTTAAAATCTTTGTTTTCGTGTTCAAAGTGATAATCAATCTAGTAAAATTTCAGATAGTACGATTAAGAACTTTAAATCATATTTTATTAATTTGCAAAAAAAAACTTACCAGTTGTAACATAGGTGAAAGTCCAGTTCCGCCACAAAGCATAAACAACGTATCCCAACAACCATCATCAGAGCCGGTGTTTATTAATGAAATGGGTTGAATTGGTTTCATAGAAACTGATTGTCTAGGATTTAACTCTTCGATTCGTCTACCTATTCTAAATGGACCACGTACTTTTATTTCAAATCCATCTAATAACATATCCTATTTTAATGAAAAAATATTTGTGATTTTGTTTAAAAAATTTTTTAATATACAATTAAATAAGGGTTAAAAAGAATTAAAAAGGTTTACCAAATATGAGGACATAAGACCTTCATTATAGATCTTTATTATAATGTAGAAACATTTTGGAGATTTTAATTTAAATAAATTATAACATCGTATAACAACTTGTCCTTTAATATGACACATAATTTCTATGTAATCTCCAGGGGTTATTTTTGGTATACTGTCATTGGGATCGACGGCTTGAAAGATGAATTTTTTGACACGATTCACCGCACGAATTCCAGCGACATCATCTTTATTAACCAGTACGTATCTTTTAAAGGTTTCGGCTTCTCTAGACAGCATTGCAGATGATAAGATACTATCCTTATTAATGGAATCTTTTTTAACTTCATTGGATTCAGTTTTTTCCAATTTTCCTATGACCATTGAAGCCAATTTTGCGGTTGCGAACTTGGAATGACTATGCATGACGACTCGCACAACCTTTACTAAGGTAACATTTATACGATCAACCGTGTCTGCTATTGTTTGCTTTCGCTTTATTGAAGATTTTCTTCTCGCCACTTTTTTATTTTGGTCATCATTTTCTTCATCAAGATATGTCTTATTAATTGAACTTGATTCATTATCCTTATATTCATCAGTTTTAATTTCCAGATCTTTATCGTTGAAAAAAACATCAGATATATCAGTTCCAATACTGATATCATAAATTAGAATGCGTTAACATAATGATTTTATTGTGAAAAACATTCTTCAATTAAAAAAAAAAAAAAAAAGAAAACCCACACTCGTTGTAATATTTTGACACCTGAATAGTATTATCATAAGTATTCATAAGTATATCATATAGACATTTATTTTACTTAAAATCTACAGACATTGATTAAAATACGTACCACCAGGATGCTTGTTAATCCATTTGCGGATATCAAATACAAGGTTTTCCGCGACAACAAGTCGAGCACCACCAATGACTCTATCGTTTATATTCTATTGAATAAAAGGCTTAAGAAAAGTGTTTTCTAATAACAGAAATAACTTAAGGCGACTTACTTTCCATGTGAGTAGTGGAAGAGTTTCATAAACCTCTTCTGGAATCTCATTACGAAGTCTTCCTCGTTTTTTGTTGATTTCGAGATCATTATTATTTTTAAAAAGTACACTGCCACTATTATATTTGTACCAACATTCAGTACAAATATATAAGAGAACCAATATACCTTTTTCGATAAATGAAAAATATTTAAATATTTGAGATTAAAAAAATTTTCAAACTATTATGTAATCGCGTACCTAACCATGTAAAGTAAAGATATGTGAATATCGGACTCGCACCAATTTGTTGAATTCCAAAGTAAATATTAACTCTATCAAAAATAAAATGTAAATTTAGATTGATTAAATGGCTTAATTTCTTGATTCTCAATTAATGGACTTACGAAGAAAGTGTCATTAATCCTGCTCCTACGAAAAGATGAAAGGTTTTTATATATGAAAATATTCCGCGATTTGCAGATTCAACGGAGCTAAGACCCCAGATGGTGATTGCACCCAAAGAAAGTTGCAAAAAAACACCCGTATATAATGTAATTCCAAGACTGTACATATATAAAATTTGGATTCGTAAATATTCAATATTTTAATCAAAACTTGATATGTTATTTTCTACATACACTCCATGCAAAGTTCGCTGCTGATCTTGCGAAATTGCCATAGCTGCGGAACCAAAAGTGAAAACGCTAACACTACCAAAAAACTGAAGGTTTCGATGCTACAATGGCATTAAGGTTAATTATGATATGTATTAAAATAAACGCTTAATAAAAAGACGCAACTTTCGAATATATATATATATATATATATATTTACCTGTTTCATGTGATTATCTCTATGTTTCAAATATCTAACAATAAAAATACTGATTGGAAATAAAACACTAAAAAATGAATTAAACATTAATAGTAACATATTGAAACAATATAACATTAAGAAACAAAATAGATGGTTACAAACAAAACCCGACAAAAATTGACCGGGACTATGGTTAATGCGGGCTAGGCTTGTCGGGATTATGACCTTGTTTGTCGGGATTTTAGCCTGTAACCGTTAACATATATATGTTATATTGTACCTCCAGGTTAAAAACATTGAAATACCATGTGCCAACCGTGTAAGAAATATGCTATTTCCAATAACCGATGAAGATCCAGTTCCAGCGTCGAATAAATTAATTAAAATTTTATTTCTGTTTCCGCCATGGTAACTTAGATAACTTGAAGACTTTAGGATAAAAAAATAAACTCATTAACTCTTAAAACCGAATGACATGAAAGATAAACTCATTAACTCTTAAAACCGAATGACATGAAAGATTTAACGACATTTACCGGATTCCAAGCATAAATCACTAAAATAAAAGATTAAAGTCATTATTCATATACACAAATTAATAAATGATTAATAAATAATTTACCTTTTGTCAACTGATTTACTATTGGTAACTTGCCAGGAACCTTTAATGGCCTCTTAACTTCAACCTGGGTGAGCTCTTTCGAAATATTATAACTGATCACTTGCACAAATTGATTATCATCTTTTATCGGAGGACGATATCCATCAGAATGATAATTACCAGCGCTTACGCTAGACGAGTTAATGGTGTTAACGATTAAAAAATCGGTACCAACCATCCCACCATCTAACGAGTTAAAACCGATTCCAAACCACGCATTATCACTCAACATTGTCATTTTTAAGTAAATATCTTCATTAATAACCTTCCATTTAATTTTATATACGTTAGATAACAGTAACACATTCAAAGGTGAATATCCGTCATTTTGACCATCAGTAACATTGTTGATATTTAAATCGGGTCTTGGCTGAACAAACCAAAGGTTTTGTGGAAGGGAAGTACCAGCGGGTGTATTTCGAAGGATTATATCACGTAATGTAGTATTGTGGAGGATATCAATTTCAGCGCTAGTAAAACCGGCATCTGGAGATTCATACCAGAATCGATCAGAATCACGTATCAAAGACCACTAATTCATAGAATCCATCGCGACAGATAAATATTTTACAATCCACTCAAAATGTCAATTACCGGAATCAAACATAATAAGTATAAAAAATATTTAATAACTA